ATAGATCTGAATGGCGACGTCAACGGGGAGGCGACGGAAGGCGTGGACCGGGCTTTGAACAGGCGGCGACAGCTTTGAGTAGTAGGGGCCGACGGCGGGTGAACCATCCAGGTGCGTGGCGAAGGGGGCTGGCTGGAAGGCCGGCCGACGGCTGCGGGGTCATGACTGAGCTGGAGGAATGGGCCGGAGGTGGGTTCGACGAGTGCAGCGGGTGCTGCGGAGCTCAGGTCGCGCGCGGAGTGCTGGTGCTGGAGGCGGTGGCGCTGGGTTGAGAGAGGAAGCCGGAGGGCGGAGGGGACTGGGCGTGTGTGGTTGGTGGACGTGCGTGAGTTGTCGAAACGGGGTTGGGCGTCGCTGGGGGTACTGCGCGGCGGAAGATTAGGACGCGAGGGGGCCTCGCGGGGTTTGGGGCGTTTCGTCGGAAGAGAGAGAGAGGCCGTACAGGAGTTCGGAGCGGCGGGCTTGGAGGCGCGGGGCGGACGTCTCGTGGGCCGCGAATAGGGAGAGGGGTGCAGACGTGTGCGGTGTGGCGGCGGTTTCTGTCGAGGGAGAGAAGAAAGAAGGAGAGAAGAAAAGAAAAATATATATGATATATATATATATATTATAATATATAATATATATATATATATATATAGTATATATAATATATATAATATATATATATATAAATAATATAATAATATATATTATATACAATATATATAGATATATATATATATATATATATATATAATAATATATATATATTATATATATATATATGATGGGTTTTGGTTACAGGTATAAATATATATATGTATATAATATTAGGGTTAGGGTTAGGTATTGAAATAATTAAAATAATTACTTTTGAGTACTTAAAAATTAAATTAATTACATAATAATTATCTACAATTAAAAACGTACATGTTGTGCTAATACAACAGTTGATACGAAGTAGTCGAAAAATACGTATATTGTACAATTAAACGAGAATAATTAATAAATAAAATATATTTACTTATATTTAAAATCAAACAATTATGAGATAATTATATACGTAGTAAAACGTACCAGTTGTACTAATACGGCACGTAATACGTAACAGTAGGAATAATACAACAAATTATACAAATAATACGTAATTAATAATACAACGCATTATACAAAAATATATGTAATAATAATAATACCACGTATTATTCAAAATGATACGTAATAGCATCGGTAACACAACAGATAAATTCCAGAAATATTTACTGTACTAAATAAATTTATAAATATTTAAATCATTTAAATAAATATAAAACTTAGATTTCAAATCATAGAAAAATCTAGAAATTTGAGAAAAATATAAATACTCTTCCAAAAATAATAATTAAATATTTAAAATACTAGAAAATTATTTTAACTAATATCGAAATTTCACGGTCCTTACACATGTTCTTCGCAGCAAGTTATGTTTTGAAGTCCGTCTGCAAGATTGGACTTTGCCTAAACATTAGACTTAGCCTTAAGCTCGCTAAGTCCGCCTGAGGCTCGCCTTTGCATTCCAGAGTCAAAACGCAGAGTTTATCTCTGCGTCCCAACGACAAAACACAGAGTTTGTGGACTCAAAACGTAGAGTTCATCTCTGTATCCCAACAACAAAACGTAGAGTTCGTGGCTGCGTTCCAGACTCAAACGCAGAGCCAAACTCTGCGTCCCAGGTCCAGAACGCAGAATTCGTGAGTTTGCAAGCTCAAATACAGAGCCCAACTCTGCGTCCCAGGTCTAGAATGCAGATGTTTGGGTCAAAAATCACTGTTTTCATTGTGATTGAATCTATTACAACTATAATCGTTTACAACAAACTTAAATAAAAAGTTGATCTTTTTATAAGATCTCCTTATACAATAAAAATACAAAAGATGCGACTCTTGTCAAACAGCACAGTGAACGTTTATTACCCGCTGCTTGTGTGGGATCTTTGCCTGTGCCGGGAACGTTAATATCCGTGGACCGTCGCGGATCAGATCCGGTTGACAGATTGATGATCAAAGCTCTTACTTCACGAAGGAAGTAATCGCTGCAGCAATGATCTCGACCAAGCGAGATCACGGCTCTTCTCGAGATTTAAGACTAAGCCTAAATCCGGAGGAATAAGGGATGTGTCTCGGATCTCTCGAACTCCATTCTTTATGCACAGGAGATCGCCAAGATCTGCTAACCATTGCTGTAAATTCGTGACTTCACTCTCCAATTCGGCAGCGTTTCGCCCTCTTGATGTCCGCCCCCGGAGAAATGGGCACCCGAGCTCGTATTTATAAGCTTCGGAAGCGGGTATTTGGATAAGAACGAAGGATTCCTCTTTATCTTCAGTTAAGAACTGATTAACCATGGTATCAGATCAGTTGGGAAGCTCAGGAACTAACAAATCCCGAGAGAATCCGTGAAAACCAAAAAATCACACCTTTAGATCAAATCTAGCCGAAGCGTCATCCGGTGGCTCGGCCTTGCCTACGGGCCGAACCCCTGGTTCGGTCGAGTCGTTTTGATGTGACTCGGCCGCCAGCGGCTTTTATTGGTTTTCCAAGTTTTGACTTGTTCCGTCGTTACGCGTATTTCGTCATTTCGTTGACTTGTACACTGTTTTGGTGGCTGATGAGCGTGCGGGAGGCTTGGTTCGCTGATTTGGTGGCTGATGAGCGTGCGGGCCACTTGGTGATGGTCGATGAGCACACGGGCCACTTGGTTCACCGATTTTGATGGCCGGTGGACGTGCGGGCCACTTGGTGGTGGCCGGTGAGCACGCGGGCCACTTAGAGCTGGCTGGGGGAGCCACTTGGAGGTGACCGGTGAGCGCACATGCCATTCGGTTTGCCGTCTCGCTTCATGTGTTCGTCGGCGTCGGATAATCCTCTTAGACTTAAATAATGACGTTCATCGCTTTCTCTCTGTCTCAATCTGTGTGTGGATACCTATAGGCAATTTTAGACGCCTACAGCAGAGTTCGTACCCAGAAAGCAAATTCTGCGTTTGACTCGTTCAAACATGAGTTGAACGGTTCTAGAAAACGTTTTCTCGCCACGGTTTGAGGGGATTACCACCCTATCATGGAGAGATTTATGGGGGGCGGTTACACCCCATTAAATCCTTATTAAGAAGATATTTAAGGGGGCAGTTACACCCCTTAATCCCCTATAAATAGCGGGGAAACTCAACTGAGTTTGGGATCTCCAATTCATCCTCTTTTTGGCAGCAAAGAAGAGATCTTTTGGCAGATCATCTTTAAGGGAGATCGGCATTTATCCTTGGAGAGCTCAAAGCATTCTTCGGCAACAGGAGCTTTCTTCATCCTTGGCTTATAAGCCGATTTTGGTCAAATCAACTCTTTCATAGAGTTTTAAACTCGTTCAGAGTTATCAACTCGTCAAGAGTTTCAAACTTGCTTTGCAAGTTAATCCGAGACGTCGAGTCAAGAGGCGAAGACAACGTTCCAGCGAGGTGTTCGGATCGTCAACGGGATACAAGAATCTAAACTCCCATCGACACCAAGAAGAACCCAGGTTAAACAAAGGGAATGATCTCTGTCGACTCTTCTCTCTTTTGTAAAGCGGGATTCCGATTGAGAATATTGTAATTTCTTTTTCTAAGTTTGTTAGAGAGAAATTGTATTGAGAACGTTGTAATCATTCTTCATCTAAATCAGTTAGAAAGAATAACACATTTTTGTTCTCAGTTGTCTTCTTCGAATTTTCCCACCAAACAAGAACCAACGCTTAGTCGCCTAGGCAGGCGCCTAAGCGGTTTCTGGGCGTTTTTTTTTTATTTTTTTAATTGTGATACTTGAAAATAAATATATATACCCAATCAAAGATGCATAAATACTAAAATATCAACCCTGTTAACTAAATTGTTTGGTTTACCAATTATAATAGCTCTTTGTATGTTTATACTTCTCAACTCAAATTTTAAGTTTATCTCAACAATGAAAAACTCATTCTCAACTCAAATTACTGTTAACTTATAAGTTATTGTTAAGTTTAAGTTGGCAATAAACTCAAATTACTGTTAACTTATAGGTTAATGAAGTTTGGAGGACGTGTAGGCGACGACACATAAAATCACAATGAAGTCCTATAGGGTGCAATCCACGTAAGCAGACAATGCTCCCCTAAACGCTCGTAAAATCTAGGTGGGCAGTCTAAATACCGCCTAGACGTTAGGCGCTAGTTAGGCGGCCTAGGTACCGCCTAGGCCTAGGCGTAATTCCGCATTGACTTGTAGGTCCAGTGGTCCACCATGGTGAAAACTACGGACATTGTCCTTTACCACTTTTTAAGCACGACACTTGCATCAGTGGGAACTTTATCTGACTCTAAGCTAACCAAACATCATTTCTATTTTTGTGTTTATTTGTATTCTTATAGTTTTGGCTAAAAACAAGGCATCAAAGGCTAGGAGGCCCTCTGGAAGGTAGACGCGCGCGCGTCACCGGTGCATAATTATTGTAGAACTTTGTCTCCGTTTCTGCTTTCGTTTTGTTTCAATGTCACATTAACTTTCGAGAGTGACTGTTCACCACTAGTAAGGGAAGGTAACGTGTTCGTTTTATATAGTTTTGTTTAAGTGAGGGAGAATTTTTTTTTTTTTTTGAAAGGACCGTTTTAAAAAAATATAATATAGAATTACTACCAAAATTGATCACTTTTTTTTAAAAAAAAAGCCGATTTTGTAAAAAATTCAACTTTAAAGTACAGGGGACAAGTAGTCCCATGCATTTAATTCTCATTAATTAAACCTTAAGTATGTCAGCACAAAATACACGGGACGACTAATTTTACATTAACGGTAATTAGCGACCACTAATTACACGGGAGTACTAGTCCCGTGTACTTTAAAGTCACCTTGACGAAAAAGATGTCGATTTTGCTAATATTTTCATAAAAGATTAATTCGATTTTGCTTATTATTTTTCAAAAATAATCTTTATTTTATTTTTTTGAATTCTCCTTCTAACCGAGGAGGGATGCTCAAAAACATATTAATCAGACCTCAACGCCCGTCTCCTTCCCGCTACTGTGCCAAAACAATGGGAGAAAAAAAGCCTTATTTCGCCATGATCACGGTTCAAATCATATTTGCCGGCATGCCCATAGTCTCCAAAGCTGCCTTCAACGGTGGCCTCAACACTTTTGTCTTCGTATTCTACAGGCAAGCAGTTGCCACGGTTCTCTTGTTGCCTCTAGCTATAATATTTGCAAGGTAGTTTTCTTCCCTATTTCGTTACTTTTCAAATGATTCGCTCTTCATCTTTCAAACTTTATTGAGTTTATTATGCTTAGGAGGACTGCACCCCCATTGCCATTCAAATTGACGTTCAAGATTTTCATGCTTGCGCTATTAGGGTACTATAAAAAATTTCTTTTTTTCCCCATTTTTATTAGTTTTTCCTTATTTTTTTGAAGCGTGTTATGACAATTATTTGAATCCAGGTACACGATCAACTTAAATATTCACAGTATCGCCATCAATCTCACCTCTGCAACAGTGGCCTCAGCATCAATGAATCTCATACCCGTTTTCACTTTTATTCTCGCGGTTCTATTTCGGTAATTTAGACTACACAAGAACCAATCATTTTTTTTTAACATATTAATAATGGAATATTCTATATTAATGCTTTTAATTTTGAATTATTTTATAGGGAGGAAGTGATTAGATTGAAGAGGCGCCCAGGAATCGCCAAGGCAATTGGCGTGCTAATTTGCTTTACAGGAGCTTTGATTATTGCAGTTTATAAAGGCCCTCGTTTAAATCCATTCACCGATCATCACTCAGTTCTTCATGGAAGTTGTGAGGATCATTCGAATACTAGTATAAACAGAACTTGGATGATCGGGACTTTTCTTATGATTTTAGTTGCATTTTGTTGGGCTTTGTGGATTGTGTTACAGGTATATATGCCCAATATTGTTCATTTAGATTTAATGTATTAATAAGTTACTGAATGATTTTACTTAATTATTATTTTTATTTTTTAAATTATAGGGGGTATTGTTGAAGGAATATCCATCATGGATTTGGTCCTCTGCTCTTGTGAGCCTCTTCAGTTCACTTCAGAGCTTTGTTGTTGCCATGGCGGTTGAGAGGAATATGAACAAATGGAAGCTGCACTGGGATGATGGACTTCTTGCGATAGCATATAATGTAAACGAATTCTTGTCCCCAAGCGATTATATTTTTCGTTTCATTTACCAAAAGCATTGGTTTTTAAAAGTTAGACTAAGAGAGATTTTTTTTTCTTTTTCTTTTGTGCGTGTGCGCATGTCTAGATTTCATAATGAAGATAGTTTTTGTAGGTTAACACAGTGGTACTCAAGATTTTTCTTAAGAATTCTTTTTGTAAGAGATTTTTTTTTGGTGTGCATATGCACATATCTAGAGTTCATATATAATGAAAATAGTTTTTGTAGGTTAACACGCTGTGGTACCCAAGATTTTCTTAAGAATTAATTCTTTTGTAGATACTAATACTTTCATTGATGAAGATGAGTTAAAGTTACATATGGACGATGGACTTCTTACAATCGGAACACAGATGAATTCGTTCACACTACTATGCATTTAGCTTCAAGTTTGTTTATCATGTTTTATGTGCATAATTTTCATAAATACTACTACCTAAGAACTTTTGGTTAAAGCATAATGGCAATCAAGTTATTTTATTTTGTTTTTGCATTATGGGATTTGTTATGAAGATAGTTTTTATAGATAATACTCCTTTTACTTTCATCGATGAACATGAGCTGAAATTAACAAGGATGAAGGACTTCTTGCGGTAGGATAAGGCATATATGAGTTGAAGCACACAACAAATTAATTATTTCCGTTCAAGAATTTTTCTGCACACGCACATGCAAGGGAGTTTACTGCGAAGATAATTTTTTGTAGATAATAAATATAATTCTCATCATTTCACCGATGAACACGAGCTCAAAATTAACATTTGCAGGGTGTGTTAGTGGCAGGACTTGTGTTATACTTGCAAACTTGGTGTATTCACAAAAAGGGCCCTGTTTTTGTGGGAATGTTCTCTCCCTTGGCTCTTGTTGTCGCCATTGTAGCTTCCTCATTGCTCTTAGGAGAGGTTATAAATCTTGGAAGGTAATCATAGATCATTTCTTTTGAAAAAATGTCTCAATGACCCAAAATATGAGATCAAGAGAGGGGACATGAAGGGTGTCCCCTCCCCATTGCATAATGAGCTGGTCATCCAGCTCATTATGCAATGGGGAGGAGACACCCCACCTGTCCTCTCTCTTGGTCTCATATTTTAGGTCCTTGTAGCAGCGCTCTTTCTTTTGAATAATTTCTTTTGTGGTGGTAAGTATGCTTGTTGACTTGGTGTTTTGGTTTGGTTTGTGGTATTGCACATATATGCAGTGTCATAGGTGGAGCCTTTTTGGTTGTGGGCCTTTATTGTGTTCTGTGGGGAAAGAGCAGAGAAAGGAAGAACGTAATTAATTCAAATGTTGAGGATGCAAAAGAGAGGAGAAGCTCGCATGTGGAGGGAGCAAGGGATACCATCTCAAAAGTTTAGAGTCCATAGTGAACTATGCCAATGAATGAATTGCCGGGGCGGGGGGGGGGGCGGCGTGGGGTCATTACATATGTTCGGATGATTTTTTGAATGGTGTTCTCTCTGATTTTCTACGTTTCCTCTTTATTAAGATGTGCTTCTTTTCTTAGTTTCTTTTAAGTATTTATGTATTGAGTGCTGCCTACTAAGCGACCCCAAAAAATTAGAGGACCTTCTAAGTGAGACAGGCTGAGTGGTATGTCACCTCCTGTCCCGTGATGCACTAGTTCATGTGCATCACGGGACAAGGAGACGACACCTCACCTGTCCCACTCATGGTCCCCTATTTTAGGGTGAACAGTGCATCACGGGACAGAGAGGCGACACCTCACCTGTCTCACTTAGGGTCCCCTATATTTGGGGTCCCTGAGGCATTTTTCTTTATGTATTGTGGTAACCAATCTAGCATTTGTAAGGTAACAATTTGAAGATGATTTTTTGTTTTGAGTTTATTGTTTAAGTTTAACTTGTCTTACTAGATTAACAGATGCAAAAACCCTTTAAGGCTTATTTGGATTGGGGTTAATGTGAGGTAAAGGAAGGTACATGACACATTAATGATGTTTGAGAATTCATTTGAGCCAAATAATGGAAGGAAAGTTGAAATAACGAAGAGGGAAAAGCTTGAGATTTTGTTGCCCCCCAATTTATGTGTAATGGAGGGGAAGAGAACCCTGGAAAAAAAATATTACATAAAGACAATTTCATCCTATTATCAAAATAAGATCCGAACGGGTGAAATAACATGTAAGATTATTTATGTAAATTTATATATATTCTATTACCTTCCTTTTATTTTACTAAACTTTTCAAATAGGGTGAACTAAGTTCTTATTGGTTTTCCTTACTAAATTCCCCAACAAGTTTTGCATATTACCCTAACTTCCCTTAACTCATCCTATATTTACTTAACTTCCTTTTATTAAGAGCAAATCCAAACAGACCCTTTGGTTACAAAGTAATGTTAAATATGTTTCTAAAAAAATATTGTTTTATATATGGCCTTAAAAACTTTTTTATTAATTTCTTTGAACATAAAGCGTAATCGACATTCATTTCGTAATGCAAACTAGGAGCCTTGACACGTAGTTTGCACAGACGATTTTGATAAAGTTTACTAGCAAGTGTTAAGATATTCTGAAATTGAGGTGTGATCGTCATATGAGAATTTTTAAAAAAAATTATGACATTTAAGTAATGAAAAATTCCCCAATGACGCAACATCAACAGGGGACATGCGAAGTGTCTCCCTCTTATTACATAATGAACTGATCATCATCACTTGTCCCTCTGTTGATCTCATATTTAGGGTCATTGTGGCAAAGCCCTTTTAAGTAATTAAAGATATTAAAGTGCAACTCCTATAAAATCCAGTTATTATTGGGATTGAAGTCATTTCATCTGAAGATATTTATGTGCAATATTGGTAAAACAAGCATCGTTTACCCAAAAATCAAATTCAGGAACACCGATCTCTCCTCCAACGAAACGAAACGAAACGAAACGAAACGAAATCCTCTCCCTCTCATCCACCGCATCAAACCAGCAGCAGCTACAGTGCTCCCCAAACCCTAGCCCCCCTTAAGATTTAAGGGACTAACATTGGGAAAAAAAACCCAAAACTTTCCTGGCCAATTCAAAACCCTAACCCTAGAACCCCATCGCTCTCTTCCTCTTGAAGAAGCGGCAAGAAATGATGGTGCCTAAATATCATTCTCATATCAAGTAGGTGTCTCAAAGATTTGATCTTTGTTTACTTTTTTATTTTATTTTTGTAGTTGTTGATTTGAGTTTGGGAATGTGTAGGTGTTTGAGGAAATGGTTACTGAGGATTATGGAGGGAATTTTTCCCGGATTTTTTTCCCCATAAATCGCCTGCATTGTTTAATGTTTACCGGTCGCAAAATGTTGCTCGTGAGAGTAAGTTTTGTTTGAGCTTTTCATTTCAACATTTTCTCCTGTTGTTCTTATGTTCGAGTTTAGTTATCACGTGACCACTAATTTAAATATTTAAGATAACTTGGACGTTTTAATATGAAACAAATTTATGTTCATTGCTAGATAAGTCTAAGTTTACTTTGTGTAGAAAGTAAACTGCATGGCATATTAAAATTAGCATTTGAACTTTATACAAACAATTTTAAGATAGTAGAGAGGTTTCACATGAGAAGCAGAAGAAAGAAAATTTGATATTTCATTTCTATAGAGGGGGTATGAGAATTATCTGCAGAACTGTCATATGGTCATGAAATTTTTTTCTCATACTGGATATGTCTTTTCTAAGATAGGAAAAACGAACTGGACAATAGAACACTGGAGCCTGATTTTGGTAGACTGGGCCAATGCTTATTGAGTTTTTCTTTTTAGAGCTGTATGCTCTTCTTATTGAGTTTTTCTTTTTAGAGCTGTATGCTCTTCTTTTGCACTGATCGAACGGCTCTCGTTTGCTCGATTATCATGCATCTAGCGGATGCAGTCCACATGATGCTTTCTCCTTATAATGTACATGTTTTATTGTAGACTAGACTATGGAAAAAAAACCCTTCCACAGAGAGCCCCATAGAGGAAATCATATAGGGAGGATGGACATCATAACAAGTGCCCGATCACGAATTTTAAAGTTGGTGATTGTATTGATGTTGTAGTCTTACTGCGCTAATAAGTTATTGGTGAATGCATTGCTACAATACTCTGAGTAGACTGATATTATATAATATCTGCACTGGTCTGAAATTGCTATCAACACATCTGTCATGTGAATGCGTGAGGAGATGTGAAAGGAGATGTGAAGCTAGGCAGCGCGTGAAGAGATAGCAGGTGAACGTGGGGGCCACCACGTGAAGTTGTTCTCAATTCGAACGCGTGAAGAGAAGAGATAGCAGGTTGCGTGGAGGCCACAACACCGCGTGAGGAGATTTGAACGTGGGGGCTACGAAGGTGTGAAAGCCATGAGTTCAGTAGTATGCGGGTACGGCCCACGAAATTCACCTCTCCTATAAATACTCGTTCCTAGGGTTTCGTGGAATTAAGGTGAAAAAGTGAGGCCCACGAAATTCACCTCTCCTATAAATACTCGTTCCTAGGGTTTCGTGGAATTAAGGTGAAAAAGTGAGGGCGCAGGCACAGAAGACAGAGGTAAATACTCGTTCCTAGGGTTTCGTGGAATTAAGGTGAAAAAGTGAGGGCGCAGGCACAGAAGACAGAGGTTTCGTGCAAAGGGAAAAAGGCGGTTGTGCAAGTCTTAGGCTGTGTGCAAGTGTACCGCAGAGAGAAAAAGTATTTGGATGCTGACCTTTTTGAGAAGAAAAAACAATGAGCCTATTTTAGGGTTTAATTGTGAGAGCTGTGTGATTGTAAATCCTATTTGTATTCTTTTTCTCTCTAATAGTAGATCTCCCCCTCTTTGCCCCGTGAACGTAGACAATTTACCGAGCCACGTTAACATTGATTGTTCATGCCGTGACATTGTAATAGTTTATTAGGTTCCCTCGACAGGTCAGTCCTAGAACTGATGAGAGGAAGATCTGATATCTCACTTTATTGAGATATTCTCTTCAGATTCTTATTTCTTTTGTGAAACAAGGATTTTATTACGACATTTCTCTCTTATTGTGCACTAGAAATTCTATCGAAATTTTCGCTGCGCACAAGTGGTATCAGAGCCTAGATTCAGATCTAGGGTTTTCTGTTTTGGTTAGAGGAGTAGATCGATTTGAAAGCTCGTCTAGGGCTTTATTTGGTGATAAAAGTGTGATCTTTTGGTAAACACAATTTTTTTTAATTTTGGATCTATTCTTCGTTCGTTGGTGTGTTGAGTAAGATGTCGGGGAAAGAATGTACTTCGGGTGTCGAGGTTGGTGCTTCTGATGCGAAGACCATTCAGAGTTTGAATATCCACTCTATGAAGATAGATGTGGAGAAGTTTAATGGTACAAACAATTTTGGATTATGAAGATGCGAGGTTTTGGATGCGCTGAACGCGCAGAATTTAGAGGATACCTTAGAGTTAGATGGCAAGCCAGATGATATTGAAGAGAATGTTTGGAAGAAGATGAATCGAATGGCGTGGTGTGATTAGGTCTTGTTTGACTCAAGATCTAAAATATGATGTGATGAATGAGACTTCTGCGAAGAAGATTTAGAAGATTCTCGAAAGCAAGTATCTGACAGAGTGTTGAGAACCGCTTGTATTTAAAGATGAGACTTTATCGTTTCCAATTGAAGAAGGGAACCTCAATTAGTGATCATATGAACACTTACACAAAACTTTTTACGGATTTGGCGAATGTGGATGTCATGATTGAAGATGAGGATAATGCATTGCTATTGTTGAGTTTTTTGTCCGACGAGGAATATGAGACCTCCGTTCTTACTCTGATTAATGGAAAGACATCTCTTTCGTATAGTGAATTATCAGCTTCAAAAGAAGGATAAGGAGGTTTCAGTTGAGCCGGTAGCAGAGGCGTTGGCCGCAAGAGGGAAGGGTCCAAACCGAAAGAATTGGAAGTCACAGTCTAGAATAGGACATCCTATAATTAGAAAAGATCAGTGTGTTTGGTGCAAGGAGACTGATCTTTAGAAGAAAGACTGTTCAAAGCTCGACAAATAGATGAAGAATAAGCAGAAGGGAAAATAAAAGCAACCATTATCAGAAGCAAACATCATTATATCGAATGATAATATTTCTGACTCTTCTATTTATTCGCTTTCTATCAGTCCTACAGATAGCTATTCAGAGGAATCTGAATGGATTGTTGGATAGTGGTACGACCTATCATGTATGCCCTAGAAGGAAACAGTTCTCCAGTTTTAAGAAGCTGGATAGTGGTGTGGTGTACATAACTGATAACCATGCATGCCAGATCCTTGGGATATTAAGAATTCGCATCAAGATATTTGACGAAACTGTTAGGAAGTTATATGATGTGAGATATGTTCCTTCCTTGAGGAAGAATTTGATCTCGATTGGAGCTTTAGTTGGAGAGGATCTGAATGTTCGAATTGAGGACATGGTTCTCAAGATTGTGGAAGACTCTTAATTGTGATGAAGGGCGTCAGGAGGAATAACCTGTATTACTTGACCGGAGTTATAGTGGTAGGTGGAGAAGTGACGACTTCTATTGATTCGACTAGACTGCGGTATTTGGGGCTTGACCATTCCGGTATTGATTCCTTGCATAGATTGAAAGAGGGTGCGAAGACCTACAGTTTGAAGTCCAGTGAACATGTTGATGTGAGCAAGAAGATCGAGGTTAAGTTTGGCACCTCTATTCACCGTGCTAATGGTCATTCTGGAGGTGTTCACGTGGATGTTTGGGGGCCTTCTAAGGGAGAATCATTGGGAGGTAATAGATATTTGGTTTCCTTTGTTGGTGGCTGTTCTAGGCGTGTTTGGATTGCAACCAAATTCCCTTTGGAGAAAGTCCTAGTAGTATCCAACAGATTGAAGAAATGTGTGATAGACAGAAAGATGAAGGTACTTCATTCTGGTTTTGGTGGGAGGTACAAGATGGACTTGTTTCTGTATTGAAGCCGAGCTCACAATATTTCGAGACACTTCGTTGGAAAGAAAATCTTGGGGTAACTAGATAGGATGGTAAAATTGGAGAATCGTACCTTGCTAGAGGAGGATCAGTGTTTGTTGTCAATCAATGGTCTGCAGAAGAGTTTCTGCACTGAGGTTTCGACATATTTAGGTCATCCTATTAAAGAGTTGTCAACCGCTGTGATAGGAGGTAAAACTCAATTGGGTGTTTGGTCTGGTAGTGTCACTTCGATTGAGGCTTCGATGAGGGAGCTATTTGACTCTCAGCAGGTGGAGAGTTTTGGACAGACCTTAGATGTATCGCAGCGGGTGGAGAGTGATGCTACTTCATATTGGGTGAAGATTACTCCACATACTCCAGATCATTCTGTATTGTTAGGTTCCAGCTGAGGTGACACAGCTTGGGGATCAATTGGTTTTGGATGCAGATGATGAGTTGGTGTTGGATTTGAGTGCAACTAGTGGATATAATTTGGATACGGTCATTGGTTCACCTCAGATGAAGGTGTTTGATATGTTTCAGTTTGGGACCTTTGGGAGAGCTATCAGTTGCAGATCCGTTGGTGATGTTGGTGAATAGTTACAAACGTTTCTATTTGATTGAAGTCTTTTGGAGGCCATTTGATGAACTACGTGAGGCTTGATTCATTGGGCAAGAGGATACGTAGGCGGTCTTTATGATGCAGCCGATTTGGTGAGTTGATACCGACATTTGGAGAGTGTTCGCATTCTTGTTTGGGTCTCGACTTGTTGTGGATTGAGTCTGTTATCGTGAATTGTTTCACTTCGTACTAGACGCAACAAGTGAGATATTTGGTTTGGTTGGTGTTGGCTCAGTTTTGGGAAAACTTCACCGATGTGAAGAATTGTGAATGTGTGAGGAGATGTGAAGCTAAGGCGGCGCGTGAAGAGATAGCAGGTGAACGTGGGGGCTACCACGTGAAGTTGTTCTCAATTCGGACGCGTGAAGAGAAGAGATAGCAGGTTGCATGGGGGCCACAACACCGCGTGAGTAGATTTGAACATGGGGGTCACGAAGGCGTGAAAGCCACGAGTTCAGCAGCATGCGGGTACGACCCACGAAATTCACCTCTCCTATAAATACTCGTTCCTAGGGTTTCGTGGAATTAAGGTGAAAAAGTGAGGGCGCAGGCACAGAAGACAGAGGCTTCGTGCAAAGGGAAAAAGGCGGCTGTGCAAGTCTTAGGCTGTGTGCAGGTGTACCGTAGAGAGAAAAAGTATTTGGAGGCTAACCTCTTTAAGAAGAAAAAGCAAGGAGCCTATTTTAGGGTTTAATTGTGAGAGCTGTGTGATTGTAAATCTTATTTGTATTCTTTTTCTCTCTAATAGTAGATCCTCCTCCTTGCCCCGTGGACGTAAGCAATTTGTCGAACCACGTTAAAATTGATTGTTCGTGCCATGATATTATAATAGTTTATTAGGTTCCCTCGACAGGTCAGTTCTAGTACTGATGAGAGGAAGAACTGATATCTCACTTTGTTGAGATATTCGCTTCAGATTCTTGTTTTCTTTGTGAAACAGAGATTTTATTGCGATCTTTCTTTCTTATTGTGCATCAGAAATTCTGTCGAAATTTCCGCCGCGCACAACATGTCACAATTCCCTTTCATCCTTATTCGATTTTCTTATAGGGAGTCTTTTATAGGACTTTTCCCTTTGCAGACATATATATTAGTTAAAGCTCAACAATCATCTCCTTGTCTCAGAACTCTATCGATCAATTTGCCTAAACAACGGGAGAGAAAAAGCCATATATGGCCATGATTATAGTTCAAATTATATTTGCAGCCATGCCCATAATCTCAAATGTTGTATTCAATGGCTGCATGAACATATTCATCTTCAAGTTCTATAGATAAGCAGTTGCTACCATCCACTTATTGCCTCTAGCTATAATATTCACAAGGTAATTAGTTCATTTTTTTCATGCATTTTAAAAATTGATTCATTCTTTATCTTCTTAGTGTTGATAAAACCTCTGTGATGCTCAGTAGGGGTGGAAACGAATCAAATTGAATCGAACATCACACTGTTCAAATTCGAATTCGGTTCATATAGAGATAATCGAATTCGGCTCGAATACTAAATCAGACTTCCAATTTGGTTCGTTTGTGTATATTGATGTTAGTTAACTATTCGGGACATTCGAATACCTTACCTTCTCAACAACATTTCTGAGAGAACATTGGAAGAGAGAAGAGATCCTCATCACACGGCAGCTTCTGATCAGCGCCTCATCCGAAGGGAGACTAAGGGAGCAGACAAAGTTGCAAGAGGTGGCCATTTGCAAAATTTGGGAAGAGACACATCACATCAGAGATGAAAACCCTAGTTGTGAAGTGGATATTTGCAAGGGCCTAGACTATTAAGTAATATTTACATGTAAGTAATATTCACATGGGCCAGTACCTTTTTTTTAGGGAATGGGCTAACACTATTAACTTGTTTATATGGCCTAGATGTTTAAAGCTATTAATATGGGCCCATAGTATTAATTTATGTATGTGCACTCTAACTATGAACTTATTTACATTAAGCATAGCCTATTAACTTATTTACAATGGATTGAATGTGTAAAAGAGATAAACACTAAGTCGTGTTTGCAATAAAGTTGTTTTCGTCGAAAGTTGATTTCATTGTGGAATTCATTATATCTTTAGTCGATTACAACAAATTCAAAAGAAATAGCCTTTTTATAAGACTTCTCTTACACAACAAAAGAAAATTACAACTTTCTAGAAAATAACACAAAAATCGTTTATCGACTTCTGTTTTGTGGGAATTTTACCTGTGCCGGGAGTGCGTTGGCTCGTAGACCACCGATTCACAAGATCATGATTGGATTGTGAAGGTTTTGGGGATTTTTTCTTCGTTTATTGAAGTAAGAATTTGAAGCGAATATCTTATCGATGTAAGATGCTCATTCTTCCAAAGATTAAGTCAAAGCTTAAATCTCTAGGGATCAACGAAAGCTTCTTGAAAGTATTTTGAGGAATCAAGACTCTTTTGCTCAAATTCACCAAATGCCCAAGCTTATCTGCTCTAATCTGCTCTCTATCCTTGGATTCGTGTGTAGGGAGATATTTATAGGGATAAGGGTGCGTAACAGTGAAAACGGAAGCAAGATAACTGGCCAACCAACTCCTCTTTGGGCACGGCAGCCATCACTGACGCGGCCTTTAGCTCGTCAGTGTATGCTGGCGCGGCTATGGGGGCCGCTCCACCCACGTTTGTAACTGTTCACAGTTGCATTAGTGCACGTTTTCTGCAAGTAGTGAGCGTATTTTCAGGGTATAACTACTCCTTCACGTCACTACATGTTCTCTCTCAGTTATAGAACCACGTGGACCCTACTAAGATGCTCAAAACCGTCAGCAAATCACACAAAGATACCACGTGAACACGCGCGCCACACTCAACTGTCGCGCCTACGCGCGCCACAATTAACCGTCGTGCATACGCGCGTCAGTATTCACTGTCGCGCCTACGCGCGTCAGTGATGACTGCCGCGCCCATATAAGTCGGTGTACTTTGTCGCGAGTGTTCATATTGTTCTTCTGTGTTGTTTCACCTGTTCCTTTGCTTTTTATGGCTTTGGATGATTTCTTCTGACTTAGATAATGACATTCATTGTCTTCTCTTTGTATTGAGCTGTATTTGGATATCTATAAGCATTTTTAGACGCCTACAAAAGTTTATTTATAAATCTAAAATTTCAAATATAAACGAATAACTGATAATCAATCGAATCGAATATACCTTTCGTCAAATTCTATTTAATTATGAACCGAATACTAAAAATTATTCGTTTGCTATTAAATGAACTGTCGAATCAAAGATGACCGAATATTTGGACGAATAATAATTGAACTGTTTATTAATTATTTGGTTCATTTTCACCTGTAATGCTTAGGAAAACTGCCCCTCCATTGTCATTCAAATTGATGTTCAAGATTTTCATAGTTGCACTATTCGGGTACATAATATTTTTATTTTTCTTTGGGTAAATTTCATGAGCCCGCGAGAAGTTTTGACTCATTTTGAGATAACCCAAAAAATTTGGAAATTTCATTTAAAACCCTAATGTCTTTATGTTGGGGGTTATCTGACAATACATTCAGAGGAATGCAAAAAAATTATGGGGTTAACGGACACTTCCAAACTTTTCGGGGCAATCTCAACATGGTTCAAAATTTTTGGCGGTTTTGTGAAATTTACCCTTTTTATTGGGGTTTTTCTTTTTTGTAATGATTTCATTTTAATTTAGGTATACGATCAACTTAAACATGAGCAATATTGCCATCAAACTTATCCCGACAATATTGACTTTAGCAACATCAAATCTCATTCATGTTTTCACTTTTCTTCTAGCACTTTTATTTCGGTAATTTAGATTACATAAACCAATAGCTTTTCAAATATAAAATTGAAAGAGAAATAATTTATCAGTTTGATGAATGTTACAGGGATGAAGTTATCAGATTTAAGACTCGCGCAGGAATTGTCATGACATTTGGAGTAGTAATTTGTTTTATAAAAGCTATGGTTACTGGATTTTAAAAATGCCCTCATTTGAATTAATTCATCCATCATAATCCAATTCTCCATAGAAGTAGCCAGAATGATTCTAATTCTAGTCTAAACAAAAAATAGATTCTTGAACTTTTCTCATGGTGTTGGCTGCATTTTGTTGGTCTTCATAGCTTGTGTTATTGGTATCAATTACTGTTCATTCTCTAATCTTAATTTAGGGTTAGTTGATAGCCCCCTGAGCGAAAAATTTGGACTCTTTTACCCTCAGGAGGTTTATTTGTAAAAAAATAATTACTTTTTCTCTTAAGGGTATGTTTGGTTGGTTCAAATAATGCAGAAAATGGCTCATCAGAAAATTAACACGAGAAAATTGTTATTTTCCCTCACAATTAGCTGTTTGACTCGCCCAAACTAGAATGAAAAGTGAAAAAATAGCGCCAGCCAGGATCTTTTGGAGGAAAATTTTACTGTTGCTAACCCCGATTTCGAAAAAAATCCACCTAAGAATGCTCTCCATACACACCTAAACAAAAAAAGGATTTTCGGTTTCTCTATATTTTTCTCTCTATTAGCTGTTTGACTCGCCCAAACTAGAATGAAAAGTGAAAAAATAGCGCCAGCCAGGATCTTTTGGAGGAAAATTTTACTGTTGCTAACCCCGATTTCGAAAAAAATCCACCTAAGAATGCTCTCCATACACACCTAAACAAAAAAAGGATTTTCGGTTTCTCTATATTTTTCTCTCT